TCTGTACCAATCTAATCATAGGGTAAAATTCCTTCCTGATCCCAAACATGGCAATTGATCTGACCCCGCGCAGAGGCAAGTCCCTCTAGCCAGGAGTCTCTGGGTTTATGTCTCAGAAAGAGCACTGGCACACCCATCAAATTCTCCAGCCTTGGCTGCAGCCAACACCTAAAACTTTTGAGGAAGGTGATCCATCCCCCCCACCCCCTGCAATAGCAGGAAGGAAAAAAAATTAGTTCCCAGCCTCATGTGGCAACCAGCAAAGCTCAGAAGCATGGGAAATATCCATAGTAGAACACAGGCATCCCTGACCAGTGCTTCTCCAATCTCTTCTTGAACATCTACAGTGATAGAGATACCACAATTTTTCTAGGCAGTCTATTTCACTGCCTCACTGTTCTAACAGTGAAGAAGTTTTTCCCGATATCCAATCTAAACCCACATTGCTGCAACTTCAAGCCATTGATCCACACCTTGCTCTCTGCAATGAGAGAAAAGGCACTATATAACGAATATTCAGGAATTTAGCATGCCCATTACTTATTTGCCTAATTCCAATGGAATGTATTTCTCTTTTTAAAGTCTGCACAAGAGTTCTGTTTAATAATTTGGGATGTTAACTGTTTTCGCTAAAAATACATTTAAGTTTGCTCTCAGTTATGAATATTGATCCCACACAATTATGTTATACAAAGTTAAAAAAAAATATAAGGGATAAAAATCTCCTGCTCAGAGCTTAAGTCAATCTCTAACAAGTGAGGGCTCCAACAACACATTTCTTCTCTATGCATTTTATTCTACAATGGTTCATGCTTTTCACCTCCTTTTCAGTTTCAGGCCATTCTGGAGAAACAATATTGGACTACATGGACAACTGTTTTGGGCAGGACAATGCCAAGGTTCTACTTTTTCTCCTTTTTCAGTGTCTTAAATTTTCTGCATCCATACACAAAGGCAGAAGAGGAATTAGGATAAGGTGAAACACATTTTTCTATATGATAAAACATTTCTCTGGGGACCCCTGAGGTAACTAAAAAAAACCTGTTTGCTTTACAGAGGTGCTTTTCTACCATTCAGCCCATTTGGTAATATTTTGAGGTGGTGAGGGCTGGAAGACATCTAACAGGGGTGATCTTCTGTACAAGTTGAATTAAATTATAAAACTTGGTGTGATGCAGAAAATGTATCCAAGAAGGCAAAAAGCTGTGAAATAAGTGCTGGTGTATCACCAGAGAGTTTCTAAAATGACTTTAATGCAGGTGAGAGAAGCTGAACTGAGAGCCCACTGAGAATGAAGTTTTCTAGTAGAAGATGAAATACAGGATAGGCAGCAACTTCCCACTTACACACACTGCCTCTGCACTAATGAGCTTCCACATTTGGGGGCCAAGTATCAGGAAGAGAAGGAATATCAGTCTTTATAGCCCCATCAATCCTTTGCTTCTCTTGATACTGACAACAAAGGACCAACTGGAGACCATCAGCTCACAGGCCAAACAGCCAGACTACAATCAGAGGTGAAAAGATCTGAGCCCTGTTCCTAGTGTCATGTGCTATCCTCTGAGCCTCCCAACTTCAGATAATGCTGAAATCAGCAATACAGACCATGACCCATAGAAACTATGACCCAATCTAGTGTCATCCGGTCCCTTTACCCTAGGTCCCATCTCATACCCTTTCTGTTACCTTTAAGTCTGGCCACCAGGTTTCTAAACTCCTCTATGGTATAAGCTTCATCCACTCCTGTGAGAGCTACTGCCCCATCCGTGCCTGATCGTGGCCCATCCCACAGCTCTCGGTTTAGGTCTCGGCGTGGTACAAAAAGCATGGCTTTGTGAGATGGCAGAGCTTTGCCAGGCAGACTCTGGAGCACCAAGATGCTGTCAGGTTCCTGGAACCCACACAGGTACAGGAAATTAGTGTCTTGGTGGAAGGTGTATGGGATGTCATTGCTCATGTAATAGGTGGGGTTGGATAGCAGAATCACTGTGTGGTCCATACCACCCCAGTCTTTAGCCTCCTTCTGGATCGAACTCATCAGCTTATGTCGGCGTACAGCATATTCCACCTGGGACAGCCCTGGAGTTACCTCCCCTATGAATGAAAAACAAACCAGATGAAGTAACATCCTGATCTCAGAACCACCAGCCTCCCATCCCATTCTGTGAGCTCATTAAAAAGCAGCCTATTTAGTAGGGGTGCAAGATAGAGATTTTTGGGGCTGATACGGATAGCCAATTTTTAAGGAGCCATATCAACCAATTCCAATCCGATTTCCAATACAGCATGGAGAGCTGCACGAAGCTGGTAAGTTTAATAGTTTCATAGTTTCTAGGGTCGGAAGGGACCT